GGGGGGGCAGGCATAATCACAAGCTGAAAATCACGAGGGTATCAATTCTAAATGCTTTCTGACTCACGACTGTATTTCTGTTCAACTTTTGGTCGATTATTATTGTTAGATTTCACATTTCAACAAACGTAACAACAAACCACCAGTCAAACATAATTATGTTCAGTTATGAGTCCACAAGCTTTTAGAATTGACACCCTCACAATTTCCAATTTGTGACTTTTCCCGTTTTTCCTGTGTGCTCTTCCCATTAATAATTGACTCGTCCTAGAGTAAACAGAATCATCACTGGCCCTTCCCAATACAAACAGAATAACCATTGGCAGGTTCTATGGAACGAACAGAAAAATCATTGACACTTTCTAGGACACAAACAGAACAATTATTGACACATTCTAAGACACCAAAAGGAACAGTCATTGACACTTTCTAGGACACAAACAGAACAATCATTGACACGTTCTATAGAACGGACAGAACAATCATTGACACTTTCTAAGACACAAACAGAATAACATTGACACGTTCCATAGAACGAACAGAATAATCATTGACACATTCTAAGACACAAACAGAATAACCATTGACACTTCCTAAGACAAAAGGAACCATTGACACTTTCTAGGACACAGACAGAATAATCACTGACTCATCCCAGAAAGGAGAGACATCGGCGGCAGCCATGGTTCCCTATTCATTTCTCCTCTCTGATGCTCCCAAAATACCTACAATTGTATTATCCTGGTCTGTCCCCATCACCCATCTCTTCAGGCTTTCCAAGTAAGCTGCTCTGGGCCTACCCCTGCCTTGTTTGTCTTCACTTTTACCAGTGGGAAAAAAGATTGAGCGTGAAAGAGTCAAACGGTTCGGACATCCAACCAGAATGCCCCAGAAACAACTAGCGACAAAAGCTTACCACACACGTGAATCTGGCTTCAAATCAAGGGGAAGACCAAGAAAGACATGGCTTATTGATTAAAAGGGTCCTGGTACAACACAACATATCTATCACAGACGCTACACACTTAGCACTGGACAAAAACCTGCATCTCCCCTCGACATCCTAGGGATACCAGAGGAAGGAAAAAGTAAGTAAGGGGGGAAAAAGACGTTGATGGTCTTTATGTCGGTTACAATATCCCTGAAGCTGCATTAATTTATCTTTCCCCCTTTTTTTTGTCTCTTACGACACTGAAATTGTTTTTAGTAATGAGCGGCTTACCTCCTGGGCATCTTTAAAATATTATCATATTATCTCATTTGATTTCATTTCCTTCCCTGAATTTCCAATAGTCTCATAAAGAACCACATATCTGTTACTTCTGTTTCAACTTTCAGGTTGTGACTATACGGAAGGTTTCAAAACTCTTAAACTTAAAGATTTTCCGTTCAGTTAGTAGACGTTCGCGTTGCGTCCGCCCAAAATTTATTACACAATAAACGTAGTCCGCCAGTTGGCCAGTTCTTGTCTTCTCCCGACACACGCTCTCAGAAATCAATGACTTTACTCTGATAGCTAACCACCGTCGTTGGCCGACACAAACCCTGGATCAACCATCTATTATAATAAATAGCATTTATTGTAAAGAGCGTAATTTCCCACTCAACCGCAAGCTCTATCAGGTCTGAAAGCAATCTGAAACAATCTCAACATTTTGGGAAGCATACAGTGCTCTTTTTTTTTTTGGGGGGGGGGTTAAACTTATGTCATTCGCAATCGTACTTATATTTGGTGAGAATATGGGACGTAATAATAAAAGTGCACAAAATTCCAAACAGATGTATCAAAAAAGAAGGGTTTTTTTCGTTGACGGTTTTTGTTTGTTTTTTCTGTTTTGATTTTCTGAAAACCAATGCTCACGCACAAGCACGGTTAGGGTCGGACATGAGGAAGACGAGAAAGGGCGAGGAGGAGGAGGGGAAGGAGGAGGGAAATAAGGAGGAGGAGGAGGAGGAGGAGGGAAAGAGGAGGAAGAGGAGGAGGAGGAGGGAAAGAGGAGGAAGAGGAGGAGTAGAAGGAGGGGGGAATGGGGGAGAAGACAAGGAGGAGCAATTACAACGACGATTTCGACAACAACCAAAACAACAACAACAACACC